GGTTGCCATGATTTCCCGCGACATGGGGGTCCTATAGTCGTACTCGTCGCAGCGGACAGGGGAGCGCGAGGCAACAGATTGTGCTGAGGGGGTTGATTACGTCCCCTCGGTCTCCTGCCCGGGGCTTCAGGTCTGTTCGCTCTTGGTTTCGGGGAACGTCTTTCCTTCCGGGGAGGTGACTTTGCACATTTCTTGGAGGCCATAGGTTGGGGTCTCTCCAGTTGTGGTCAGCGCCCCCGTGGACGGGGAGAGGGGCTCCGAGAGCCTCCGTGTTGATTTCTCCGCGGGGGAGAGCGAGACGAGGTATCTTGCTCCAGTGGGCTGATGCGCTCATTCTGCTGGAACAACATCAAGTTTGTTTGGTTGATGGCTGCGAAGAGGGCAGTCATCATGGGGTCCACTCCAACTGGCGTAGGAACAGGATGAAAGACAGCCAAACTCCTTGCCCGAGGTGCGACGTGATGTGTCGCGTCCTCGGACAAGGGAGAAGCGGTCTGGCCGTCCCTGGTGTCGCCCTCGCAAGCGTGGGAGGTCCCCACCTGCTCGTCGCCGTTGGTGATTGGGGCGAAGGCGGAGTTGTGGACAACATCATCGTGACGTGGGCTAGTCATGATCTTGGAATTTGAAATCGGAAGCTTTGGTTCTTCTGCTCGGAGGAACGTGGAAGCTTAATTTCCCACAGACGGCGCCACTGATCTTACCTAATCAAAGGGAATCAGTGACCTGCCACGCGTCGTCAATCTGAGAGTTGTTCACCAGAGGTAGAGAGGAGGAGAGGGGTGTACCTGCAAGACACTCCGATGTCAAAGTAAGTAATGGACCAGAGTGAGAGCAAATACAGAAAAGAGGTTGAGAATTGAATACTTGACCCTCTAGTGAAAGAGGGTATTTATAGAGAGACCCCAGCGCAGGGCCAACGGTCACTTGCGTTGGGCTGGATTGCCAGGCGCAACCCAGGTGACTGCTAGGGCTTACGTGGCGCAGTAAAGACCAGCACATGGTCTTCGCCCTAGTTCAACTGTCCCGTAATCTCCGGGAGGTGGGTTGACCAGCTCTTTCGGAGGTGGGTAGTTGGTTGATGACGTGTTCCCGCGGAGGGAGCACGTGGAGAACGTGTGGAAGACGCTTTGTTCTGCCCGACAGGGGGAAGACACGTCTGCCCGGTGTGTCTAGAACTGTGTCCGACACTGGGAAATTTGGGTCTTGTTGAGCCTTCCCCAAATAACGTTGGGTTGGGCCTGCCCGACAAATGGGCAGGTCTGAGCCCAGTCCAGAACAGATGCTATTTTGTAAAAACTCTATTGTTTGGATAAATTTCAATATTGATTTTTTAAAACTGATCCAAACCGAACCAAACTATATGTATATACTTTTATAGTTATTTATTTTTATTAGTATGATATGTTGTGATAATTATTATTAGATGATACTTATTTCTTAAAAAATATTTATTAGTTTAATTTAATCTATTTATTTTTATTATTTCATTGTTTCAACTATAAACAATCATTGTCATTTTGTAATATTAACTTTTAATACAATATATATTATATATATTATATCAAACTTATTATTTATTATTAATTTTATAATATTCTTAAAAAAGTATAATTTGTAATTTGAATATTCAAAAAATCGATCCAAATCAAACAACATAAAGTTGGATCAAATTGGATCGAACTTTTTAAATCAATAATTTAAAACTGAACCGAATCGAAAATAAATTTATCTTTATATCATTTAATATTTTACTTTAAAATCGATCCAAACCGCATCACAGGTACTCTTAGATGAAAGAACAAAGTCTTGATCTTTTGCCAATGATAAACTCCATAGACAACCTTCTATTTTTGAACTTGATAGAATTTCTAGCAAACCTAATGTCATTGATGAGATAAATGAGCACTGAGATGAAAATTAAACTACCATGCTTGGAACTACTTCTCTCACCAAACAGTCATAAAGCATCCAAAGAAGTAAAATGGAGAGAGGTTTGAAGGAGTTAACTGAGCCAGCACCTCAATTTGTTAGTAAATAGGAAATAAAAGAAAAGATGAAAAATATATTCAAAGTTTGACTCTCAAAGGGAACACATAGAAGTCAAAGAACTACCTCTAAGTTGAAGCATATCAGTAGAAACTTTATCATGCATTAATCTCCAAACCAAAAGAAGTCGGAAGGAGGAATATCAATTGGCCAAATTAAAATTAGATATACACCAATGGATAAATGAAAGAAAAAAATAAACAAATTTTTAATGAAGAACATATATTTTTTTATAGTTTTATTTAGAAAAATAAATAAATGCATTCATTGCTACCATATAAAACGGTCTTATTCTTTTAAACTACGCTATAAATTATTACCATAAAAAATTTATATTTGTCCTTTTTAATAATTGTTGTGATAAGAAACAAACTAAAACACATCAGATCTACAATAAAAAATGGAAAACATGAAAAATTTATTGTTTTATCTATCATAAAAAGAAATCAATAAATGAAAATTGAAGATTCAAAATCTCAAGATTTAGAAAAAAGAATATACTACAAATGAAGCATATCTAACGTCAACTTATCTTCTCATATCTCTGTTTATTTTGCATTTCAAAGTTTCTGCTTATTGAAAAAGGTTGCGGAGACTGAGACAATGTATAATATATAATTTATTTAAAATAAAATGGATCGAATAACAAGAAATAGAAAATAAAAGTGTAAATAAGAGAAAGACATAAAAGTTGAAGGATACATATTGAAGTTTGATAGAAAACAACCATTGTACAAAACAAGACGCACCAGAGAAGGTGGAAGAAGAAAATAATTGTTAGTACGACGCATTAGAAGAGAATATAAGTGTGTTATAGCTAAAAAAATTTGAATTATTCTTTGACAATTTCTTTTCTCACCCTTATCGTATGATTCACATCTCGGAAAAATTCAAAATTGATTTTTGAAATTTTCAAAGATACGTCTCTAAACCCACCTTAAATCACCTCATCATTTGTAAATCGAGCAGACACTCCATTTTTGCCAAAATTTAGGCTAGAGATGCCTCTCTGAAAGTTTCCGGGGTGAATTCGGAGATGCATCTCCGAAAACCCTAAACCCCATTCAATACACGTTTTTCATTAAAATTGGCGTTGGAGATTCTATGTTGATTTTAACCAATACTAGAGTCATAAGAATCGTATCCTCGTATTCTGGTCCTTGCGTTCATGCATTTTTCTATTTTCCAATTGTTTTTTTTAATGGGACATTGTTGGTATTTAGATATTTGTTGCATGCTGATGCATGACTATTAGGTCTGCCTATCCGCATACATCCCATACTAAATTAAAAAAATACAACATGACACTTTACGGATATCCATATCTGAAAACACCATTTTTGTAAAAATATATGTTGTATCTGGATATGCATATCTGAAACTAAAATATTAGAGATGGATCATTGATTTACGTTTAATTTTGTAAAAAATAGGTGCGACCAGAGATGCATATCTGAATTCTAAGGACATTTTTGAATTTTCACCAAGTGTTTGTAAGAAAATATAAGAATGGAAAAAAATTCCTTATACTTTTTCATTAATGTATTGGGCCAATCCATTATATTTTCATAATATGAAATGAAGAAAATAAAACTATTTATATCCAAATACTAAAAAATAAAAATTTAGCAATAATTTTTTTAAATTATTTGTAAAAAATTGTGCGAGCTTATAACAAGAGAGTGAGTAGATATTTTTAAATTGTATTTTTATTATAAAATAATTTTTTTATTTATAAAAAAATTAAAGTAATAATTATTTAATGCAATATTAAATAGTTTTTATTTTTAATTATATCATTCACATTATATAAAATTTATTTAATATGTTTTATTATGTATGAAATATTCATGAGAAAGATGGATAAATTTATCAATTCACTCTCAAATATCAATATTTAAAACTTCATAGTAAATTTAAAAATTCTATTTTTGCTTGAAGTTTTGATAACTAATTTTTAATATTATACTAATTTTTGATAATCGTATTGAGCTAAAGATAATAAAATCTTAATAAACTTTTTTTTATTGTGAAAATTATATGAAACGGAGAAAATAAAGTTAATCCTAAAAATATTGAAAAATAGAAATTTATCGATTTTTTTTTAAAGCAATTGAAAAAGATTAGAGAAGCTTATAATAAGAGAGTGAGTAGATATTTTATAACTATATTCTTTATTATAAAATAATTATCTTATTTAAAAACAAAATATTAAATAGTTTTTTCAAATTATATTAATCATTTACATTGTATAAATTACATTCAATATACTTTATCATGCACTAAATATTTATTCGAAAGATTGATAAATTAATCAATTCACTCTATAAATGATTCAAATATCATCATTTAAAATTTCAAAGTAAAATTTAAAAATCGATGTTTATTTCAAGTTTTGTTATTTAATTATGGAAATTATAATAAATTTGATAGTTTTAGTGAGTCAAATATAATAAAAATATAATAAATTTTATTTTTTTATTATAAAAATTATATAAAATGGAAAAAACAAAACTATCAATTCAAATATTAAAAAATAAAATTTTCTCAATATTTTTTAAATTATATAAACAAATGCGCGTACAAAACCGTGGTACCAGTTAATAATAAAACTGTGTTACTTTGGTATGAGTTGATTGATATGTGCATGTTAGAAAGCTGCTGAAATAAAACAACGTGTGGATTTGAGATGGAATAAAGAAAAGAACAAAAATGTTACCTCATAGAACAACTTCATATCCCTTAAACATTCTTTTCCTCCACTTTAAAAAACACAAACACAAAAAAAGACATTTATAGTACCATATCTCACATATTCTTTTCTTGCATGCAAATGATGTCTAAAAATTTCAATATAAATATCTATCTTCACAACATGCACAAAACAGTTCTCTCTCTATTTGTTTCTTGTTCTAAGTTTTATTGTCTTATTGAAATTTGAAGCTCTTCTTCAAATGGCTTCTGGCTCAAATTCACCTTTGAAAAGATCTGATTCCATTGCTGATAGCATGCCTGACGCCTTGAAGCAAAGCCGCTTTCATATGAAGAAATTCTTTTCTAGGTAATAAATTAATAATTTTTCCGTTTCATATTATAAGTCGTTTAAAGTTATGCACTTTGAACCGAATATTGAACTGGTAAAATTTTTGGATTATTTTATAAAAAATATTTAACTTCTAAAAACTTCAAACGGTTTTGGTTTGAAATATGACAGCTGATATGAGACGAGTACTATATTTTAAAGAGTTTAATGATGTTTTTTTTTGTATTCAACATTTTGTTTAACTTTAAGATATGGAAAATATGAAACAGGTTGATTGCAAGTGGGAAAAGGTTAGTGAGACAAAATCATATAATGGAAGATGTAGAGACAACAATTGAAGATAAAAATGAGAGAAAAAAGCTTTTAGAAGGCTTGTTGGGATACATCCTCAGTTGCACTCAGGAGGCAGCTATTGTTCCACCATATGTTGTTTTCGCGGTGAGGCCGAATCCCGGTTTCTGGGAATATGTTAAAGTGAATGCAGATGATTTACAAGTAGATGGTATTGAGGCTTCAGATTACTTGCAATACAAGGAAACAATATTTGATGCGAAGTGGTAAGTTGAATTCTTTGAAGCTTATTTGCATAATTGTTTTTAGGCTAAACATGCAGTTTTCTTGGTGTCAGTGTTTGCTTAAATGGTGAAAATCTCTGTAGCACCGACACTTCTGAAAAAATGTGAGTTGGTGTCATTGTGTCAGTCTTAGTGAAAATGACTTAAATTTGCAGGGCAAGTGATGAAAATGCATTGGAGATAGATTTTGGGGCTATTGATTTCACAACACCTCATATGGCTCTTTCATCTTCTATTGGAAATGGACTTGACTTTACTAATAGGGTTTTGAGTTCAAGGTTGAGTGAGAGTTCACACTATGAAAATCCATTGCTTAATTACTTATTAAGTCTTAATCACCAAGGAGAGGTAACTAGAACCATAAGAGTATCAAAGATTAAAATATGTACTAATGAAAAAACAGTGAAAGTTAATTTTATAACTTTTTTTAATCACATATTGCAGAATCTTATGATTAAAGACAGTTTGAATACAATACCAAAGCTTCAGAAAGCATTGAAAATAGCGGAAGCATATGTATCTGCACACCACAAAGATACACCATACCAGAATTTCGAAAACAGGTCAATATCTAACTTTTACTTTAGGTCTTTAGCGCTGATATTTCGATATTGATAATAATTTAAGAAAATGAAATAATTGAATATAACATGTGTCTGTATCAGACACTGACATATGTTGGATATCAGACAGATGCATCTGTCGATGCTAATAGTTTTTTTCTCTTTTTGTGTGAGCAGGTTTAGAGAATGGGGATTTGATAAAGGTTGGGGAAACACTGCAGGAAGGGTAAAAGAGACAATGAAAATGCTTTCTGAGGTGCTAGAAGCAGCAGATCCAATTAAGTTTGAAGCACTTTTCAGCAGGCTACCAAACATGTTCAACATTGTTATTTTCTCCATTCATGGATACTTTGGTCAAGCTGATGTTCTAGGATTGCCAGACACTGGAGGCCAGGTTTAGTTAATCCATCCCTTTCAATGATTGAATCCATGAAAATTACTAGATAATCACAATTTTCTTGATTAATCTTCTCTTATTGAATAATCTTTTTCTATGTTGGGATTTATAGGTGGTGTATATTCTTGATCAAGTAAGAGCATTAGAGGAAGAGTTACTCCAAAAGATTGAGTTGCAAGGCCTTAATGTGAAGCCTCAAATTCTTGTGGTAATACAAAAATAACAAATTAGTGTACTTAACACATATGCTCTTATGTTCTACTAATGTGTTGGTCTCTTCGCTATTGTTTGACAGGTTACACGTCTGATACCGAATGCGAAAGGGACAACATGTAACCAAGAACTTGAGCCTATCGTCAACACTAAGCATTCGCATATTCTAAGAGTCCCTTTCCTGACAGAGAAGGGAATTCTATCCAATTGGGTGTCGCGATTCGATATCTATCCTTATTTAGAAAGATTTGCTCAGGCATGTAGAATCATATCTTCATTTGAATTTCATAGAATATTTTATATAATGTGGTTATGCTTTTTTTGCTCATGTATCTCAATCATAAACAGGATTCTACGACCAAGATTCTCGAACTTATGGACGGAAAGCCTGATCTCATTATTGGAAATTATACTGATGGAAACTTGGTTTCATCATTAATGGCCTCTAAACTTGGTGTAACTCAGGTTAGCTTATGGACATATATCATAAACTCTCTCAAACGATCTCTAATAAGTCAATCCAAAAAGACCCTTATACGTGAACATTCGTTTCCAATTAGCATTTTTGAACTAAAACTTGTATCCATAATGATTGAAGGCAACCATTGCTCATGCATTGGAGAAGACAAAATATGAAGATTCAGATGTCAAATGGAAAATTTTTGATGAAAAATATCACTTTTCAAGTCAGTTCACAGCTGATATGATCTCAATGAATTCTGCTGATTTCATCATAACTAGTACATACCAAGAAATTGCCGGAAGGTTAACCTTTGTTTTCCTATTGAACAATACATAAACTCTTATATACAATCTCCGGTCACTATTATAAGCAAAATTTCCATTTTCAGGTTGATTGAATTACTTATGTATCTGGTCTAAATATATATCAGATACATCACTTTGCTTATAGTAGTGACCAGAGTAGTATATATTATCATGAAATGTAACATTTTTTTATTGTTTTGTATCATCAGCAAGGATAGGCCAGGACAATATGAAACTCACACTGCATTTACCATGCCGGGACTTTGCCGCGTAGTCTCCGGCATCAATGTTTTTGATCCAAAGTTCAACATTGCTGCACCAGGAGCTGATCAATCTGTTTATTTTCCTTTCACTGAGAAGAAGCAAAGATTAACCACTTTCCAACCTGCCATTGAAGAATTACTTTACAGTAAGGATGAAAATGAAGAACACATGTAAGTCACTTCTTAATCTTTTCTTATCATTCACTTGCATGTGGTTAGGGCCGTCTTAAGTTTTCAAAGGCTCCGTGAAAGTTAATCACGGTTGAAGTGTGGCAAATCAAATAGGTGTCAAATTTTTTTTATTGTTTAACTGTGACAACTATTTTATGAGGCCCTTTTTTAGCTACGGTGTAAACATGTCAAACTTTGAGCCATGTGTGTTAGTCTGTCTTGCACACCATTTAAGACGGTTCCGCATGCGTTTAAGGTCTTAAAATGTGTTTTTTGGAACAGTGGATTTTTGGAAGACAAGAAGAAACCAATAATCTTCTCAATGGCAAGGCTAGACAAAGTGAAAAACATCAGCGGCCTCGTCGAGTGGTACGCGAAGAACAAAAAACTAAGAAGTTTGGTAAATCTTGTGATTGTTGGAGGATTCTTCGATCCTTCAAAATCCAAAGACAGAGAAGAAACAGAAGAAATCAAGAAGATGCATTTCTTGATGAAAGAACACAGACTCCATGGTCAATTCAGATGGATTGCAGCGCAAACCGACCGTTATCGCAACGGAGAGTTATACCGATGCATCGCAGATACAAAAGGAGCTTTTGTTCAACCAGCATTGTATGAAGCTTTCGGTCTAACAGTGATCGAAGCAATGAACTGTGGATTACCAATTTTTGCTACAAATCAAGGTGGTCCAGCTGAGATTATAGTTGATGGTGTCTCAGGTTTTCATATTGATCCTCATAATGGAGATGAATCAGTGAACAAAATCTCCGAATTCTTCGAGAAGTGTAAGACCAGTCCTGATTATTGGAACATAATCTCAAAAGCCGGTCTTCAGAGAATCAATGAATGGTAAATAAATTATGATCAATAATTGTACTTATAAGTTATAACAACATTAATTCATGGTTTGATTTCTTTGTAGCTATACATGGAAGATATATGCAAAAAAAGTGTTGAATATGGGATCAATTTATGGATTCTGGAGAAGGTTGAACAAAGAACAAAAGCTGGCAAAGGAAAGATATATCCAAATGTATTATAATCTTCAATTTAGGAACTTGGTAAGTTTGTAAATATGATGTTAGTTCAATTTATAAGTTATCAAAATCACTTATATTGAAAAGTTTCATTGCTTGACAGGCAAGAAAGGTAGCAATTCCTAGGGAGGTAGCACAGGAATATCTACCAATGTCAACAACTCAAGCCAAAAAAGCAGAAGCAATAGCACAATCTATTCACAATAAAGCAGAAGCAAAAGGTGAAGCAGCTCAAACTCAGATATTAGCAGCACCATCCAAAAGTGATTCTGAGCCAACACCTAAGGAACTGGCTTATAAAGAAAGTGGTGATCTATATTCTGGATTACGTTGGTTGCTTCCAGGAATTGCTTTTATGTTCATTATTCATTATCTTTCTAAGTATTTGGAGCATTTGTTCATAAGGGAGTAATGATCTTTCTAAGATGGAATCACAATTGTGATTTTAGTTCTAACTTATCTGTATTTGAATTAAGTTATTTGAATTTTATTGTAAGTGATTTCAGTGGTAAATAATAAGTGTTATTTCAACAATGCACATTGGAATTAATTAGTGGCATTTGAAATCCAAATATTACTCCCTCTTGGTAATTCTAAAAGGACGGATACCTCGTTTTTTTGTTTTAGGCTTAATTGTAACTTTGGCCCCCCTATGATCCTATTTTGTGTTTTTTTTTTATCCCCCATTTTAAAAACCACGATTTTAATTCCTTTTTTAGGTTTCAAGATTGATATTAGTCCCCTTGCCATTTTAAGTCATGTTTTTAATGATGTGGCGCGTTGAATGATGATGTGGCATTTCCATGTCATTTAAAATGGTCTTTTTAATTTTAATATCATTTCCATGTCATTAACGTGGTTTTTTATTTCATTTTCAGAAAATTAATAAAATAAAATCTAAATGTAAAACCCCAGCTCTTTCATCTTCAACCCATTTCTTCAAACACAGTTCACGAACGAACGAATCTTGGTCTTCCCCTTTCACGAACGAATCTTGGTCTTCCCTTTTCACGAACGAATCTTTCCATTTCTTCAAACCCAGTTCTATATCAAACCGCAACTCGCTTCCCGTCGTCTCTGAAATGGCAAACCGAAGTTACGTGTCGAGGTATGTTTCGTAACTCACCTCTGAATACAAAAACCCTAAACACGCAAATGGCATTTGTGTTCTCTCATAGCATATGATTTGTTTATACCAACTCCCGGTTTTATCTATGGTTTAATTCATAAACTGTCATTTGTGTTTTGTAGGCCCTCTGATGCCCAAGCTGTCAGATTTAGAGTACATCATAGGGGACATTTAATTCAGAATCCAGTTTTATTGTATGTTGATGGGCTTGTAATTGAAATGAATTGGGATTGGGATGTGGATTTGATGTCCTACATGCAAATTGAAGATTTGATCAAGAGTAAGGGGTATCATAATATAAAGTGTTTATGGTATTGAAATCCTAATTTTTCCTTTTCTCGTGGACTTCGGCCTCTAAACAATGATAATGGTGTCTTAAGGTTAATGGAGGATGTTAGAGGATTTAAGGTAGTTGATCTTTATGCTGAACACAAAGTTGAGAAATAAGTATTGAGGATGTTATTTTTTAGGAGGATAATGGTGAAAAAGGCAATGGTGAAGGAGCAAACGGTGAAGTTAAGATTGAGGGAGCAAATGATGAAGTTAATGTCGAGGGAGCAAATGATGAAGAGGTTAGTGTTGATGGAGTAGATGAAGAGATTACTGTTGATGAAGTAGATGAAGAGGTTAGCGTTAATGTTGATGACGTGGATGACGAGAGTGAAACAGATCCAGATTATAGCATGGGTGTCGCACCTCGAAAAATCACGGAGACATTTCGGAGAAACGACCCTCGCGCGAAAGGCGCGGAAATGCGGTTCGACAAAGTCGCCACCGAACTTTATTTTCCCGAATAAACGGGAGAGGAAAATATCGAGAAAACCTCTTAAAACGAAAGGATAGGAACATGGCTGTCGCAATCAAGTTCCGGGTTCGGGAGTCAGTTACATGAGGGGAAGGTATTAGCACCCCTCACGTCCGTTGTACTCAACGGGAACCTCTTAAGGTAAATATGGGGAGTGTTGTTTAGGTTTACTTGTTTTCTTCTCGTTGTTAAAGGTAGAATTGGTAGGTTAAAAGATTAAAGACGCAAAGGAGAGATGGGTGGTTAAAGGATAGGGTGCTCGCCAAGGATTGGGGCCCTTGTGCCTACATATGCTCATTCGGACGAGAATGAGAAATCAGAGCGTCGTAGTTCGACTACGGGAAAAGTTGGGAATGTGTGGATGGAATAATGGAGGAAGATAGAAGTGTGCTCACCAAGATCATCGCAATCTTGTGCCTACGTATCTTATATTCAAGAATGAATAAAGAATCAGAGCAATCGTAGTTCGTGGTAACAACCACGAAAAGAAGACGGGGAAATGGGAGAAATGGGTAGAAGGTAGCTCGCCAAGATCAACGCAATCTTGTGCCTACGTATCTTACATTCATATGAGAATGAAGAATCAGAGCGATCGTAGTTCGTGGTAACAACCATGAAAAGATGATGTTGAATAGGTTGGAAGTTTAGGTTGAGGGACGAAAGAGTGACTCACAAGCAACCCAAGAGCGTACCTCAAGAGCTTGTCACTCAAGAATTCAAGGAATGCGAGATTCCAAGAACTCAGTTCTTTCGGAATTTGACTGAGTAAGTTGAAGATAAAGAGTTGAATGTTTTGAAATTGAAAGAAATGAACTAATAACAACTCAAGGGCACGCCTCGAGAGTTACTCATTCGAATATTCAAAGAATGCTAGATTCTAAGAATATCCCTTTTTCGTAAGTTTCTTTTAAAAAAAACGTTTATAGAAAGATTGAAATGAAAGCGGAATACGAGGCAAACAAATGGTGGGTTTGAAGAAATGGTTCGATGACGAGTCGAAGAATTGATTAGAAGATAGAACCGACCTGACGACGTGTCAAGGGCTAGGATGATGAGAAATGATATTAGTCCCTATGGATGCCCCTAATATCGAAACCAAGAGGAGTTGTGAAGTGTGTGCGAATTGTCGATGATTGCGAATGCGTACGAGCACTCGACTTAGGGGAATGTTTGAAAATGCTTGAAAAAAAGTCGAAAGATTGAGTGAATAATAACTCAAGAGCGTGCCTCGAGAACTATTCATTCGAAGATTCAAGGAATGCTAGATCCCAAGAACCTCCTTCTTTCGGAGTTTTAATCGAGAACGATGTTTTGAAATAATTTGAAGTGAATCAAGGGTATGAAAAGAGTTTGCGGTATGAGAAGTGAGAACCCGAAATTGGATTTGAAAATGACAATTATTTGGTAAATGAGACGTCGGTCTCACAACCAATTAGTCGGAGTATTATCGCGATACTAGATCTCGACAACACCTTTTTCATTCGAAAATGTTTGGATGAACGATGGAAATATCACACAGAATGCTATATTCCTATGATATTTCATTGTCCGAAAGAATATACTTAAAAAAAACGAAAAGTCGAACAATATATTATTTAAGGTGTACACCTCAATAATAATCATCCAAAAATCTAAGAAGTGCTAGACTTCAAAGATTTAATTTTTCGTGATTTAATTAGAAAATAATTTGCTAATGAAAAATAAGTTGAAATAGGATTAAGAAAACAAAATCATATTTTGAAAGTGATTTTTTTAAAAAATTGTTTATGTTAAAAATAAATTGATTTGTGAGTAGAAAACTTAATCATATTGAGAATACAATTTAAAATAGTATGAGAATTTATTTAGAAAATATTTTGAATTGTTTTTATATTAAAACGTTTAATATATAAAAAGGTTTTAACTTGAAAAAAAATGATTTATTGAAAATATTTGAGATAATATCACCAATGTTGTCTTAAGCCCTAAAGACAAAAAAACCAAATATAAATCTAAACAAATTAAACAAAAACAAAAAAAAAATGCTATGTCTCAAGCATCTGCATAACCTGCTGTCCGCCCATCTAAGCAACCTGCATAGTAACATTAAAACACAGCCTGTAAAGCTAACAGCCATTCGTAAAGCCACGACTACGGCACCTAAACCGCAGCACCTCAAAGACCTTCCTCAACAGGATAGAGTCATAATCTATACTAAAAAAAACAGAGATTCAAGCCGAATTTAAGACAAGAAAGTGAAAGCATTCGAATTAAACCTTGCATATCATGTTAACAATACTTCACCAAGTGCAAAGTGAAATAGAACGTACTCTATCCGAGAACGTACGATTTGGACGACCGAAATCAATGCGAAAAAGGCAAAAACAACTAGCAAAGCAAAGTAGATGCACAACTATCGGCAGCATACCAATCTTTGACAAAACTCATGGGTTCACAAGATTATAATTAAACATAAATGAACAACCAACAATCGAAACTGAACTAAATCGCATTTACAATATTATGACACAAAACCAGAGTTATAATCTAAGCATTTGAAACACTATTAAAATAGAATACAATGGATATAATGTTCACCCTGTAGAAGCATACAATTATTTCTTCATAATTATCTACAGCTCAATAACAACAGATTAATTTAGAGTGTTACCGACGTCGAACTCATTGTCGGGACAAGGTTATATCATTACCACTTGATTGCTTTCAACATCATGAACGTCGTTTCTCGGATGTGAGGAAACGGTGGCCACCTCTTCAATATGAAAAAGCCGTGACGTAAGCCAATATTGAGTCTGAATCCTAGATTAAACATCACCGTTGGAATATGTTTGATGCTATGATGTTGTTCTTCTGCATAATCGATGATTCGGGCCGCAACCTGCGCAATATCAACAGCCAGCCAAATAGAAAAGAAAGAAAACCCATTCTACTTGAACCGTCGAGAGTCGTTGTGATTCAACATTAAGGAATTTTGCTGCGGTAAACCCTGCATCAAAACCAAGAGAGAACACAAAACAGAACCGCAATACGGTAATGCAATAGATATTATTTATTGCATCCTGATGTGTTATTGCTGCTACTTCTGAAAGTTGTTGTTACTCCACTGACGGAAACCGCGCGAGCTGAGGATGTCACATCCTAGCTGAGAGCAGATACGGGAGTGTACGATGTTGGTGCTGTTGAACTTGAATCTCGTAATTGTAGCGAGGAATTGAGACAGAGCCAAGTCCTCCCCGTTTCGCGTTGTTGCATTGCAGAGAACTCGCGGCATGCCATTGTCATCGTAAGTATGAGAGGAACATGGCCGATATTATTGTTGATGAACTGCTGTTGTACACTTTGAATCCATGTTTCTGCTGTCGAAATTTGAAATCGCAACATCTCCGATACGAAACTGCAACAATCACCAAACTTGAGTCTGAACCTCAGATTCAACCTCAAACCTGCAAATTGAACCAGTCATAAACAAATACACGAG